CCTTTTCATTGTACGCTACTGATCGAAACACATTGTTTCAATAATTGTTTAATAAAATAGGTTGATATAATGTTGGTATAGTTAAGCTTAAAATTAATAGTAGTTAATAATTAAATATCGTGAAAAAAAACTGTACAAACTTATCAAATATACACTTAGCTTAGAAGTTAACATTAATTATTTTAATAACACTAGAACTCATGACATTTAATTGGATTATTTTTTAAAGATAAATCTTTTAACATTACATCAAAAAATCCAAAGTTTATTCAAATTGGTTTTTTTCTATGATGAAAATTGCTTTTAAATTTAATACGAAACATGTCATCTGACCAGTGGTCTACAGAACGCTTATAAAGTGAATTGCAAATTCGGTTTTTTTTTTTTTTCAATTTGAATATTAAACTTTTTATACAGGCCAGAGGTGTGTAAAATAAATTTCATATTCAATATTCATATAGTGTAGTATTCTGGAATATAAAAAACGGTTTGATGAATATATTTTTAAATATTAATATAAACTTAAACTGTGAACTTAATAGACAATTTATTGATTTAGATAAATATTATAGTATAATGCAAATAATCAAGTAATATTCATTAAAATAATATACTAAGCATTTTTGCACGTTCGTCAAATAAATATTATAGGATTTAATTCAAACATTTTGAACAAAACAGAATACAGATGCAACAAATGTTTGTAAACTATATCATCTAAAATTATTGTAGGTATTTACTCCAATACTACGTAATACGCTTTTACTCAAATTAGTGCAATTTCTTTCGAAAACTTCACTTTGAAACACTGAAAAATCTAATAAAAGCTGTTACAGATTAAAACAGTTGGTAAATTCATAATATTATATAAAGCTAATTCAATAACAAAATAAATAACTTTATTAATTTTACTCAATAATTCAACTAAACCAGATAATATATAGTTGGATAAAACAATTCGATTTTATATTAACTGACAATTTGGTTAATATTATTAAAATATACATACAATTTACACTTTTTTCCAGTTAGGTTAGATTAACTTAAATGCATGTAATTAATTTGTATAAATCACAGAATTTTTGACAATTAATATAAATTCTAGATAGTTATTTATTAATAAGTAATAACTATTATGAAATACAAACATTTATATTTTTAATCAGTTAAGGCTGTTGAAATTAAACCATTTTAAGGGGTTGGATTTAGGCAATGCTCTATATCCATCTTGAGTTATATGTGACTGTATGTGTAGTGACTGATCATTAGTGTTCGTAAGTTCCCCAAACGCTATAATATGTAATTATTAATTAAAAATAAACTACTGTTAAGAGGATGCTAACCCATGCATTTGTTGTCTCCGTCTTACACACGTACGACATATCAAATTTTCGTTCACTAGTTTCAATAGTGTGCTGTTAGTTTTGATATTAGAATGATGACCTATCTTAAATTTTTTAGATAATAACATTATCTGTGCTTCAGCGTTGGCTTTTTTTTCGATAATTTAATTTTCAAGCGAGATATTATGAGAATTTTTAATTTTTTATATTTCACATAACCATATCTTGCTTGAAAATGAACATTTCGAAAAATCAGCAACGCTTATACACAGATAATGTTCTTACCTAAAAGTTAAAAGCTAAAGACGGAGACAACAAAATATGTATGGGTAGCGTCTTCTTAAGATTCTTGGAAATTGATTTTCGATTTTTAGTATTGTCTAATTAGTAATTGCAATTCGTATAGTACCAGATAAATTTTCTTCTTTTATTTTTAATCTTCTTTTACTAAAAGAGGAAAAAATCCAAAATCCATTTCCTACATAACTAAGAAAAGAGAATAAGGAACTCTAGTATGTTTTCAAAATTAAAATTGGACTTTTGGTACTGGGTGAATTTTTCTCCTCTTTTTGCTCCAAATACAAGAAAAAACGATCCACTTATGACAGCCTTAACTAAAATCAACAAATACGAATTTGATAAATAATTGTCATTTGTGCAAATTGTAGTAATGTTTATTACCCTATAACATTAAAAAAAAACACTTTTCTAAAAAAACAAAAAAATAATGAAAAATTTAAAAGTGTGTGGTATAATATGTCAAGTGTAAGAGCGCCACACACTTTTAAATTTTTCATTATTTTTTTGTTTTTTTAGAAAAGTGTTTTTTTAAAAAAAATTTTTATTTTTTATTTTCTACTTTTTAGTTAAAAATTTTTTTTTACGGATTATTGTATTGTCATCCAAGACCAAGGTCTATACCAATTTTCAGAATTTTTCATCTTCAAAAAGTGCCTCAAATCGAGCGCGCAAGATTTGATCACAGACGGACGTGAAACCAAACTTAAGAAAAGTGTTAAAAAAAATGGTTGCCACTAAAAAATTGTTTATACGCATAATTCAGTAAGTATAATATTTTAATATAATGAGATAAGGATTGTTTAATTCTATTGTTAAAATAGTAAATTCTTTAAAAACGTATAAACAAAGACAAGCGTTCGTACAATAACAATCAAACGAAATCAAATCTATGCATAATAATGTCGTCCCATCAATCAGCCCGTAAATAATGTTTTATTGATCACAAATATAATAATATTTCAATAAACTGAGTCACTGGTAACCACATTTAAACGATAAAGTGTTAATTCTATACCATTTTTACTTTTAACTACACTGTATCTCACAACATGAAGATATACAATACAATTAATAGTATTTATAATAGCAATATTATAATAATAAAACATAATATGTTAATGTAATATTATTGAGTAATGCGACAGATATAATGTAACCAGGCGCTTTGTATAGGCATTTCTCATGCATTTCAGAGATATTGAACAGCCGCTCCGTGTATCGCCGAAACAACTCGGATAAATGTATATCGGTCTATACGAGTCTACTACTCGCGTTGTAAATTATTATTAGTCTATACTGTAGTATTTAATATGTAATAATAATTATTTTAATTATTGTCATTATTATATTATTTTAATTATCATTAATTATTAGTAATTATTATTATTTATATAGGAACACTACATTATCGTAGTGGCCATTTTGCAACAATGTACCTACTCAAACAATTGTTTGAAATAGCGAAACTATACGACGCATACGATATACCTATAATAAATCGCATAGGATAATTAATGGTCCCATTTTGTCGAAAACAACACGTTTATTATACCACGTATTGATTGAAAAAGAATATTATTAGGTCAACAAATCGTGTCAGGCAGGATATTAAACGTCAATTCGACGGTTTGTTCGTTAACGTAACTGCACGTCAGCGAGTGTACTGCAAGTGTGATTATATCACCACTATCGATTTTCAGGATGACAAGATTCGTCGAACAACATTGCCGTCGACAACACTCGACTTGCAGCCATGTACCTATATAGTATATTGATATGATGTCCAGATTTAATGGTCGAGTGTTGTTGACGTAGGTAATGAAACTTGGTAGGAACAAAGTAAACCACCTCAGCGTGGTTAACCGTACATAATCGGTACATATATGTACATATAGATTAGGAACTTAAGGAGTGGTCAATGTACGTCCCGTACTTCCGTTTCAAGCTGCATTATATCCTTTTTTATCGATAAAAATTGTACGAAACCCCAACGGTATGCTTTTTTCCGGTTAAACAAATATATTCGTTTCTTTCCCGTTTATCTGTTAGAATTTAACACGGAAAAAAAATACCATGGACTGAAAATATAATAAGTATGTTGGTATTTTAATCGACAAAACTTATAAAATAATTTAATAATGAAGATAATGAATTTATAAATCAATTAGTTAATTGGCCGGGTGGTGACAAAAAGGAAATGGAGTTCAAAATAATATCCCCGTATATGTATATATCATATTGTGAGAAGTCAAGTTTTCAAAAAATATTTAATGATATTATAATAACGTATAAAAAATGATATAATATAATTATGTTTTTTACATAGAAGTATAATATAGGTGGCACACTATTTTAGACAGTTATACTGTGGTATAGGAGGACATTTTTTTCTCATAAAGTCGGTCAACGAAAATCGTAATAATCATTAGGTAAGTAGAGAAACCGGTGAAATTTAAAAAAATCAACAAAAATGTTCACTGCAGCTTCAGCGACGACGGCGGTGTAGTGCGACTCGCTTCCGCCGTGTGGCGTTGCCCTAATAATAATATCGTCGCCAGCTACGGTGGCGGGCGCTAGTGGTGAGAGAACAAGTCTTCGCTTCGGCGGCGGCACTGGTGGTGACGAGGGGACGCGGAGGGGGACGGCGGTATTATAGTGGCCGTCGACCGCCGTAACCGGCGTCAGTATACCACGCTCGCTCGTTCAATCCGGTCCGCGTAGCAGGCTCATTGGTATACGCACACGCACACGCTCACGCTCACGCACACGCACACGCACACGCACACGCACAATCGTTGCAGTTCTCGCCGTCAGGTACGACATGGTCGACATCGTACGCCACGGCCGCCGACCGGAGGCAGCAGCACAATCGTTGTGGTGAACGCGCCCCCCGCGACACCCGGTGAAGACGACCGCCGCCGCCGTCAGTCGCCACTCGTCGACGCCGCCGCGTACCGTTCGTCCAGTCAGTGTGCGATCGTCCGCCTTTGCCGACGGTACTCGACCGTTGTAGTTGCTGCTGTTGTGGCCGTGTCAGTGTTTGCTCACCGCTCGCGACAACTGCACGAGTGCAGAAATCGCTCGCACGTCTATCCGTTTGAAAAAAATTTTTCGCCGATCTCGATCTACCGTCATCGTCGATAAATTTCAATTCAGTTTTTTTTTACGCGACGACGTTTTGCCAGACTTGGAAAAAAATATTTTTTTCCTCCACATCGCTCGAGCGCGTGTAGACTTTGAATTTTTTTGTGCGTTTTCGTAATTTTTTTCGATTACGTGCCGCCGTGTTCTTTGGATCGCAACTATAAATATTTTTGTAACACAACACACGTAAAGTAATAAATAAACATTTGCAACATGGTGCCCAAACAAGAAACGATCTGCATCATCGACTCGCCGGATAACAATACGGACCGGCCGTTGTTTGGCTCACGACTGGTCGACGAAAACTCGACGACGCCGTACTCCGACGCCACACAGGTAAATACAGTAAATAAATAATATTGTCTCCCCAAGTCAAATTAAAGAAATTTTTTTTCTCATCAAAATAATTATTTTTACCTAAAAAAAAATAAACTTAAGCGTAGTGATACAACCTCCAAGAATTTTTCTTGGAGGCAGAATCGCGCACATTAATATTTCTCCAAAATTCGTTGGTAGGTACATATTATTATATATTCTTGATTTTTGTCGTGCGATAAAAATAACTATTGTAGTACCTAATAATAAACACGAAAATATTTTAATACCCTCGAGTTGTGGTAGTAATAATAATAAAAAAAAAAACAACAACAAACGATGTTTACAAAATGTGATGTTAATTCTCTCTGGACCTCGTCAAGTATAAAATTAAATAAACTGAAATCACATTAATATGACCCATTTTTGCCACACGCGATGCGTTAGGACAAATGTTTACGCGGCTGTTATCTTATCTGCACGCCGCTCTTACCGGCGTCGCTGTGGTCTATAAAATCGTATTTCGGCTACGGACTTTGGAGAATAACTCATTGTTTATTTTAACTCGTTGGGGTGTAACCGAAATTAGTTGACAAGTGGGTTTTAGTTTTTTTTTTTAGATAACATCAATGTTGTATTTTTCACAAGTGTCCTAAACTAATGTTTTCTGAAAACTCGAAATAGGTACCTTGAGAAAAAAACTCACGCAATTATTTGTATACAAGTGTGTGCATGAGTTGCACATTGCGCGAAATAAAATTACAACTCTTATTTTATAAATGGTAATTTTTTTTTCTTTTTGTATGTTTCTACGAGTTATAAAAATTAACAGAGAAAATTAATATATTATTCTGATCTAATAATAATTTGTTAGATCCTAAAAATGAATCGCAAACAAATTATTAAGAATGTAGTACCTACTTATTATTTATCGATTTTTTCGAAAGTATCCGTGTTGTAATACAATTAGTTCTTAAAATATAAAACCTGAACGATTTTCCAAACTAATAAAATCGATCCATACGAATACTGAACAAATTAATTTTGATTATTGTCAATAAAAACAAATTACAGAACCTAATAAAAATTATAAGATTTTAATACAATATACCTACCTATCTAATATTTATACTGAAAAAATAGTATTAGTACGTAAAATACCAAAATGTACTTATTATTAATTATTTTAATAAAATTCGATCTGCTATATCCAATTTTGTTGAGAATTTTAGATGTATCATTTTATTCCATTAGGTACCTACTTTATTTTTCCAAATGTAGCAAGTGTAAACATTTACCCGGAAACAAATTTGTTAACACGGTATATAGTTTTGTCCATGAGTGTTAAAATATTTAATCAAAAGACCTTGGTTCTATGCCGTATATGGCCAAACTCTTTACCCGGCAGTTGTATTAAAACAAAATAAAAAGATGAGATAAAATTGATTCTTTTCAACTATCATTTCAGATAATATCATCAAAAATAAAAAATATCACGATTTTATAATATATGTAATTTATTATTTATAGTTAGAAAATTTAAAGGCCTGACTATTATTACATTTGTATAACGTCCAATTTTATTCGTTTTTTTTTTTAATCCCAACTGATTATCGAGTGCAACTCGAAATCTTATAATAATTTAATGTCGTCATAAGATAAACTAAAAATAATTTGTTAAATCTAATAAAATATATTAAATAATAGGTAGGTAACCTAGGTATACAAATTATTAAAACATGATTATAATATTTCCCGTAATAGTGTTTGTAACATATTTTGCTCAAGGTTTGGGAAAAAAATTGTTATATTATTTCATTTATTATTATTATTGTTATTAATTTTCGTTATCGAGTACGTAGATCACGTACATCGGTAAGAGAAGTGCGAGCAAGGTGTGTGCGTGTGCGTATCGCGGTCGGATCACGTACGAAGTACGTATTTTTTCTCTTCCCGATATTTGCCGGAAGATACTCGTATAGGAAGATTCCGGCCGGCTGTGTTCTCTCCCTCCCGACGTGATTCCGAAAATTTATTTTTACAAAATTCCGTAGTCAATCCGCCGGGAGGACCCCTTGATGATAGTTTCCAATGAAAAATTAAATTTCCCATATCATACGTAGATAATAATATTAATAATATTATTATACACAATACGTTTTTTTCTACGCTCTTAGGCCACGGCGGAAATCAGATTGATATTATTATGTAGAATTTGTTTTTTCCTCCTGTCGAGATTAAAAATTGTGTATCGCCGGGGAATAGGTACCGCGGCGGCGAACTTTGATGACTGGAGCGAGGGGGTCGCGGGTGCACAGATAGACAGGTGGTTGCCCCGTCCGAAGGTTGTTGTGTAGATATGTATGTGTGTGTGTGCGCGCGCAATGAGTCATTCGCCTTTTCCGCGTGACCGTCGTCGGTGTCGGGGGCGGGTGGGGTAGCGCTCCGTGAGGTTGCGGGCGTACTATAGCGAGCGCGCCTCGTTAATGACCTTGAGTTGTTACACAACACCGCGCCGCCATCCCACCGACCGACCGTTCGCTCGCACGACGCCTTGACAGTGAAAGTAACCGCCGCCGCCGCCGGGTACCGAGCGCCGCGCGCACGCGGGAGCACCGCGCACATAGTATTGGCAATGTTTTTATTATTTTTATTATTATTGCTGTTAGCGCTATGTATTACAATTTTACACAGCTGCTCTTCCAATTCGATGGTAATAATTATTACAGTGGCATCATAATATATTATACTCATGTGTCCAGAGGGGGGAGGGGTTCTGCCCCGGTATTTTTAAAACCCCGCCGGGGCTTACCGATCCCGGAGAAGGTGTCCCTCAAAAATAAAATAAGTTTCAATTAAAATGTATGATAATAAAGATAATTTAATACTTACCATCTTTTCCGTATCAAAAATAATATACTCAGGTTATTATTGCGTCGCTTTTGACTTGTTGCAAGCATTAGGTACCTGTATTTTTTGTACATTACGATTTTTAGACAGATTTCTAGTTTTATGAATATTCATTATTTTGATAATATGGACAAAAAACAATGAACGTGACAATTCAACTGTTACAGTCAGGGGCGTTGGTCGGGAGAATCGTAGATTGTACAGATAGCAAAAATAATGGGAAGATTAATCATATTGTATTATGTTTAAAAAGACCAATCAAACATTTTACCCTACAATAGTAAAACCTGAAATTATGCCGTTAAATTGTTATACTCATCGCCGCTCAATATTGTTTTTTAACAGTAAAATCTGTATTAAGTACTAACGAAATTTTTATTTATTTATTATTTATTTATTTATTTATTTATTTATTCACACGCGTTTTGCCAACGAATACTATCGTTATTATTGCCGTTTGACGTGCGCGTTCGTAAGAATATAATATATAATTTAATATTAACAATATTGTGTAATAATACGTTATCACTTCGTCGTCCGAAGATGAAAACAACAAATTATGATATTTTACATAATACCTATTATTATTGTTACGGTTACGAGTGAAAATGTGACCAATTTTTACTAATCATGTGAATTTTTTTTTCTTTCTCTCTTGTTACAGACGAAAAAGAACAATCCAAACCACATCAAACGGCCAATGAACGCGTTCATGGTGTGGTCACAGCTTGAAAGACGCAAGATATGTAGTGATCAACCGGACATGCACAACGCGGAGATATCGAAGATGCTCGGTGTGAGATGGAGAAAGCTGACCGATGAACAGCGGAAACCGTTCATTGAGGAGGCCGAGAAGCTGAGACTGATGCACCTCAAAGAGTACCCGGACTACAAGTACAGGCCACGCAAGAGGACGCCAAAGAACGGTAGTGGTAACGCGACCAACTCTTCCGCTCCGGTCACGATCACGAAGACCACTACGACGGCCGTGGCTCAGTCAAAGTTGAGGAAAAACTTTTGCAAAAAGTTCGGCAGCGCTATGACAGTGTCCAGCCGCATCGCGTCTGCCCTTAACTCTGGGACGGTGCGCGTGCTTGAAACGTGCAGAACCACGGAACCGACACCAGTGGGGTTGCTCCAGGACAACACCACTTCATCGTCATCGTCGTCAAAGTCTTTCGTCCGGCGCAACGGCATCATACAGGTGAACAGGATGAGCCCGGTGAACCCGGATCGGCTCAAGTATCACTTCACAATCGATACGGCCAAGGGCAACAGTTCCAAGGATGCGGCCGAGGTGCGCGTGCCCGCTTCGGTACACGCCAAGGTGCCAACCAGCCCGACTTGCGACTCTCCAAACTCGCCGGAGAGCGCCACGTTCTACGACGACTCGCCGCTGACGTGCAGCTTCGACGTCGTCAAGCCGCTCAAAATCAAGTTGCTCAACACGTCGCTCAACACATCGGCAACGATCACGGTGCTGGCCGACGTAGACGACGATGACTGCAACGAGGACTGCGACAACAACAGCGCCAACGCTAACGCCATGTTGCTCAGTCCTGGTTCAGCCGCATCGCTCATGTCCGCCCGACAGATTGACCAGCAGCTCCACCAGCAACATCACCACCAGCAGCACAACCACCTAAACAATCAGTCGTCGGCCGATCTGCTCGCCCGTACCCTGATGAAGGACGATCACCTGCTGATCAAGGCTGAACCCTCGCACCCGTCGCCGTCTTCGTCCTCAATGTCCGCCGTCGCCCAGTCGTCGTATTTCTCCGTCAAACAGGAACCGATGGACTGCGATTCGGAGTCGGCCGCGCTGGGCCGCGTCGGCGAGAATCCATCGCTGGGCCGCGTCGGCGAGAATCCATCGCTGGCCGACCTCGAGTGCCTGGACGACCTCATCCAGATGCCGTCCGACTTCAAGATGGACATCGACTGCCTGTCGTCCGACATGGACAACGGCTCCGTCCGGCAGAGCTCGCACCTCGAGTTCACGTGCACGTCCGACATGACCGACATACTGTCCCACATGGGCGTAACCCCCGACTGGGAGGACGTGCGGGGCATCATCAACGACTGCTAAATGCGCAGGGGCAGAGGAGAAGAACGCGCGCGCCCCTACCGCTGTAGCCCCGAAAATCACTCGTCCCCACCAACCACACCCGCCGCCGTCGTCGTCGTCGTCGTTCAATATTATAATAATTCGACCGCCGCCACTATACTACCCCTCAAAAAAAACACATACACACAATTATTAATCTAAACGTAAATACAAAAACACGAAGTCCTCCGCTGTGATTGATTATTATTTTTTTTTTTTTAAGTTAATTTATTCATTCTATTACGTTTTTCTCTTTTCGTCGTATTATGATATTATGTTATATTTATTCTACCTATACTTACGCGTGCAAGTATGTATTGTGCGCGTGTGTAATATATATTATTTACCTAAATATGAAAATCTATACAATGCGGGGAAAAAAACAATACTCATGTAAAAAAACCGACGTGCTTGCGTTTGGAGTAATAAATCACACACACACAATATGTAAGTTTTTACTGTCCGTTTGTTTTTGTATACGTCTTCTAGATATTATATAATATGTATATTTGCATAAAACTATATTATTATTACTACTACAGTACTACTATTACTACAACTGCAGTGACCACTATTATGTTTTTATACATTCGTATACACACACAGTACTGGTCGGCGGCAGACGACAATCGGAATTAATTTCACTCTTATCGTGTAAATAATAATATATAATACGACTTTTTTATACTGTCGGACGATACGTGTCGAATATTTCATTGTAAATTTATATCCAAAATATATATAAATATTATTTTAAATATAAAAACGACGTGACTTTTTTTATATTTATTTCGCTCGTAAAACGCGTAAAATTCGTCAACAATTGTGATGTCTCGACGTTTATTTTTTAAGTTTGTCGTGTATTCGTAAAAAAAAATAATAATGTTATTATATTATATGTATTTCGATTACTTCTGAATCGCTTTCTAAATTTTTTTGAACACGACTAACGTAATATTGTAAAAATATTATATTGTATGCTAGTAACTAGAGCCTCAGTAGACAATAATGATAATAATAATATTCGCTTCATAATCTTTAAATGTTTTTTTTTTTACTCCAAGTGTGAACATTTTGTTTAGGTGTTTTTATATATTCATATATAACATATTATATTTTAATCATTATCACGTTGTACTATAAAAAATAATTATACTGTTGCTTAAGTGTTGTTAAGTATAGGGTGCTTCCATTTGTATAATCATTATGAAAATTATAAAAAGCAAAAAAAAATTATAATATATGTATGTGTGAATATGTATATATACGCATACGCGTGTGTATGTAATATGTATGTTTATGTGTGTATATTATATATTATGAAAATCTTGTGTCCGAATTAGAAAGAGGAATGTTTTCAACGTCATATTTTTTTTTATGCTTTGGCTATAGATACTTACACATTATAAGCGTATTTTGATTTACCTGTATTTTTTATTCAAATTCAAAAGTAAAAAAAAAAACTATTAACGATAATTCGATTTATACCTGTAACAATAACACATCGTGTAAAATAAAATACCATGTACATAAATGAAGAGAAACGAGGGCGCGCGATACGGTGGTGTTTGTATCATTTTTACCATTTGAATCCCACGAGTCATTTTGTACTAATTAAAATCCCTAAAATTTATATGATCTCATACAAACAAAAAAAAATATTTTTTTTTTTTATATAATTTAAATTTATAACTTCCACAACTTTTTCTGAACGTAATTAATAAAACACGATGAATACTTGTTCGGCAAAGCATTTATAGATTGTTTTGTAATGAATAATTTTTTTTTTCCTTATATTTGCCCTTAAATAATATTTTGAAGTGCAAGGATATTATACACTATATAGTCATGTTTAATCATATATATATATATATTTTTTTTTTTTTATACAAATGTAAAATGTATGACATATTATATGTATGTACCCGGTACCTATATATATTATGTATATATTAAGGTATTTACAAAAAAAATAATAATAAAAAAACGAAAAAAAATACAAGGTCTAATATTATACATTATATTATTATTCACCTTATTATTATCATTATTATTATTATTATTATTATTATTATTATTACTATTATATTGTTTTCTATATATATGTATTAGCGTTATAAGTACATATGATTAAACCTCCCCCTCCCAAGAACTTTCTTATTTCGATTTTATATACTTATATATTAGTTGGTTTATTATTATTAAAATACATAATATTATGTACATAATTATGTGTACGATGTGAATGTGTTGTATATAGATTTACTCATTGTACATTATTACAGGTAGACTTTACGGTACTGTACCTATAATATATTGTTCGCAAGTAAATCGGTATAATGATGTTAAGAAGTTTAACACTATTTTTTTTTATTATTATTATTATTATTTGTGCATCGCGTTATTTTATATAAATAAAAAAAACGAACGCGCGCGCTTGTACAAAAAATACATTATAAAAGTATAATCTTTTTTTATATCTTAAAATTATATTTATATAATTGTTAATCGATTGTGTTTTTTGTTTTTATACCAGACTTTCCTTCTAAAATATATCCTTCTTCCGTAAATCATTTTTACCATCTCCAAAATAAATACATGCGGTCACCAAATAAGGGTACACTCGGGGTGTCCCGATGACGTGAGGAGGGCAACGAATCAAATTAATTCGTAAAATTTTTCCGAAAATAGCAAACAATAATGTGTTTCCGTTGAATAAGACATCAACAAAAAGTACCTAAAACAAACGACTCGCAAAATGTGGCGGCGACAGCCATTAAAAAAATTTTTAGTCATACGTGTGATCATGTTTTATTTCATGGTTTTACAATAGTGATAATAAATAAAAAAATATCATCAGGCATGGTGTCGTCTCACGTTGAATCGCGCCCGACCCCCGAATTGATTTGCCAAAACTCTTATAAAATAATCGAGACTGTGTTCAATAATTTCCCGCGATGTCTGTAAAAATTAAATCTGAATAAAAGTAATTTAAAAGTTGTCATTAGGTATATCACGCAGTTTATATTTTTTACATAGGTTTACCCATTATGCTGCCGTCGATCGAAATAATAAATATTATTTTTTATAGGTATGTTTTTAATATACCATAAAAATACAATTACAATAATAATCACTCAGTCGTCGTAATATCAGAGGTACTTGCATATTATTATTATTATTTTGAACGGCGTAGTTGGCGTACTCATTCGAAAGTGCCAGATCGACAACAATAACATGTACAATATTGTTGTTGCGTACAATGTTTTTGGTAAGCGTACAAAGTTGTAACATAACTTAAAAACTCGCTACATATTATTTATTTATTTATTTATTTATATACTATAACGTATATGTTTAAATATATTAATGTAAAACTATAATTGAACGCGTGCAGCATCAACCTTACGCGTGACTGCGGCGTGTTTGTTATTAATAATAATTATTGTCGAGATGACCGCGTGTGTCGATTTCGAATATTTATTATTTCTGTTTACCGTTTCAATGACGACGTTTGTTTTACCCAATAATAATTTATTGTTTTATACGTAATATTATTATTATTATTATTATTGTATGCGCGTGGTGCAGCGTTGTCTGTGTGTGCCGCCGCCGTCGTCCGAGTATAATATAAGACGCGACGTCTTCGCATTCCGTAAAAGTGTAATTCACTCGACCGTGTGCCAAAAGGAATAGAGAAAAAAAATTCGCGTGCACGTAATAAAAAATAATAATAATATGTAAAAAATATTGTAATGCGCACTCGGGAAAATCATTACGCACGCGTACTGAGGGCGGCGACGAGATTGTTTTTAATCGTTATTTTTAATAAACCGGAATATTATGATATAAACACTAAAACACGTGACAAGGTTTTTGCATATTATACGCAGAAAATCTGCAAATCGAATTTATTGTTGTAACGACATAATATTATCTTGACCAACAAAACTTTACAATTATTACTATCGCGAGTCGGTTCCCCGCGACTTCGATTGTTTCACAATGTTGTTGACCGCGCAGACACACAGAAGACGTTACATAAAAATTATTAATCGGCTGATTATTTACCATTTGATACATATTATATACAACACTGGATAGTACAAATCTCGAAAATATCGGGATAATGGGACCCTTGGAAAATGGCTAAATAGAGTTGTGTGCGGCTCTGTCGATGGGTATACTATTCATTAGTGTCTGATTATTCAGAGTATAGTTAATATTTTAAAGTAGCACACTCATTAGTTCGAAAGCTAGCGTATTTTTGAATATTTTGTTAAAAACCGACATTTATGAAAAACTTTCCTATATAATATTATCATCGTTAAAATGTTAAGTTTTTTTTTTTACTATTATAATTGACGATGTTCATTTTTTATTTCCTGTTATTCAGAAGCAATAATAATTTTATGGTGTATTTAAATATATTAAAATCAAATTTTGAATGAGAATAAGATTACTAAAATTTCAATGAAAAAAAAAACACAAAATTCAAGAAATTCTATATCGTATATTATACCTATCTTCGAAAATTGTCAAATATCAATAGGTACTGATTATATGGATTTAATATATTACCTATACATTGTTTGGCATTTCATATAATGCTTAGGTAATTTAAACAATTTTATAGATTTACAGCTGTATTTGGTGTTATATAGAATTCCTAGACATTATATAAAATACCAATATTATACACATTGCCGCTAACATATGTAATGAGATGACATTGATTTTCGTATAAGCTGTGGAGTGGTTTGGCATCACTACAAACATATTTTAAAATATCGTGTTAATATTTTTTGTTCTGATTATCAAATGCCACAAATTCCATTTTAACCACCCATCATTGAGAATAATATTGGGAAACGTACCCGCTGACTTGTTTTCGTGGTAGGTACGTGCAAAATAAAAGTTGCTTACTCGTAATTTGTTGTGGTACCACGTGGACTGAACTTCTGAAGGTCGAAACCTCGTGC